ACTAGTAAGGAAGAACTGTTGAGTGCCGAAACGGAATATGTTAAGCTGTGGAAACTCCTCAAATAACAAAATTCCGAAAAACTTGGGTAGGGCGTTTGGACTGTTTCTGAACTTATTCATATAAGTATATTAAGGCAACCAGAGAGTGAGCATCGAAAGCCGATGTCTCAATATCTACTTACTGCTGCCGATAATCTAAATTAATATCAGCGAATCCGAAAAAACAATTTATGCGACGAGGAATGTTTAACACGATCCATGAAAGAGTGTAAACATGACGGATTTGAATTATAGCAGAAAGGAAGACTATTAGGAAACCCTAAGGTGATTTACAGATAAGTATTAGCAAACCCTACTTGTATATTTATATCCATCATTATGCTTAGTAAAAAAGTTAAAAATCAAATTATTAATTGAACAAAACTATTATACTCTTTGTCAAATATGGTTAGCGTATAAAAGCATGATACCAGTCAAGGGCGATTCTTTATTGTTTTAATTTTTGTCCATGCTTTATCTTGGTTACATCACAACGTTGCTTGCTGTAGAAATTGCAGCGCGTCTGCAAACACCCAGTTTTATGCTTCATTTTGTGAACAAGTCACCATTCTCCATGATGGCCAATGGACCTTAAAGCAACACACATACAATCTACAATATTCTCTCATCTACTCAATAAGGCTAGGAGCATAGTGATGGTACATTAACATCAGAGTTAATAAGAGAGATCTGCCATAGGTCAAAAGGTCTACTCAAGCATTAAAGAATGTAAAGGTTCGTCTACCGCAGTACAATTATTTACAGTTGCTTTTTCTGACAACTGTTTGAGTCGTCTATGTTTTTCCACACAAACGCTCTTTGATTGGCTCTATTGGAGTAAAGCGCACGAATCCAATGTCTATATACATCCTTCTGCTATTTTAAGAGGTCAGTTCGTCGGTTTCTGATTTACACTCGTCGTTGCTGTGTTCAACGCTTTACTGTAGACCTAGCTTAAGTACTGCGCACGTTTCTATGAAATTCGCATTGCTCGCCGTTGTGTTTTAAACTTTTTGCACTAAATTGTGCAAATATTTGTTGAACAACGGATGCAGCGCATATCAGCAGAAAGCAGTTAACTCATTCGCGGTATAGAATATCGGCGGAATAACGGCGTTTGCTCAGCGCGCACGTAAGTGGCGTCATTTTGGTGGTGATTTTTGAATAATATGAGGTTTTTATTTTTATTTAGATTTCAAACTTGTTATAAATTTAAATCTACTCTGCTTTGATTAGTTGATATTAACCTAAAAGAGTATACAGTATTACTCTTGTAGGCACCTCAAGACATTTAAATAATAAGATTGCATGAAATATTACAGATTTCAGTTTAAAACCAGAAATAACGTTAAATTCGGCTGCACCGAAGCCATAAAACCTTTCACAGATGCATTGTTTATATAATAGTATAAAAAGGTATAAAAAGATTTTATTCTGATTTTGATCGCCCAGTTTATATGACAGCTTTAAGCTTTAGTGGTATGATCTGAACATTATTTTCAGAAATTATAGCAATGCCTTAGATAATAATATATGCCAAACCACATGAAGATAGCTTGACAAACAAAAGAGTTTTGCATACAAGCGCTTGATTTCGAACGTACAGGTTGTATGGCAGCTATATATATGCTATAGTTTCCCGTAACGTTTATTATTGTTTTTATTTTGTGCTTTGGAAATTTTTTCAAGTAGAGATATTTTGAAAATTTTGTGAAAGAGTTTTCCATTACATTTATGCCTCAAAAACTACAGACAAATCCGACGCTCCTACATTTACTTTATTTTTTAGAGAATTGAAAACAAAACTCACCAAAGTCACCATCATTTATGTACATTATAAAACATAATTAACGGCAGAGTAAAGACAAAACCATAAAAAAATTAAATTGCTCCACAACATTATTATTTCGCCATTTCTTTAGCTTCTTTGCACATTTTCATAAAAAATGCAGCAAAAACGATGAAAAAATACAGCTAACAAGCGCCATAATGATAACATTAGCGACATACCAGCCTTGTTGTTGTGATAAACGTTAGAAAGCGAGAAAAAGCGCTAAGTTAAGGCAATTTTCGCCTCATGGTCGCCGGCGAAACCAAGTCACGATTTTATTCAATTAATATGTACATGATTGCTGCATTTGTGGCCGCATTGTGAAAAGTGGCAACACTGCATGGCTACTAAGGCAGTGGAAAAAAATATTTAAAGCTATTGTGTAGATTAATGAAGAGATTGTGAGCTGGTATATAAAAAACAGGCCTTAACTTAAACTTAAGCTTCCGCGCGAAATTCTAAAGTTAAGCTAGATTTGGTTTAATGGCTGACCCGCAACACGGGGATCGCACTTAATCTATTGTATATACAAGTAGTTACTTGCGAAGTCAGAAACTAGAACTCCAGTAATCTGATCTTGTAAGTCGACAAAGTGCAGTCTACTCATAAGTTTTATTTCTATTCCAACCAGCTCCAAAGCATATCTAAATCTGTCAGCTTCGCGGAGTTTAATACTTGATCTCGCAAAGGCGGGGCAAAACAAAAGAAGTGTTGAGATATTTCTGCCTCTTTTTCTTCTAAATATCTTCTTCAACTGGCAGCCGGTAAAATTATCAAACTTACCGAGTGAACAGCGACAGCGCAATGACCAGTTAGTACACCAACTAGGAAAAGTCACCACCTCGTCAAAATTTAGAGAGTGGCGAATCGAACAACAATCTGGTGTAAATTAAATTCGTTAGCTAGTTAAGTTAAGTTAATGTTTTGGCATAATTAGTTTACATTTAATTTATATGAAAATTAATTATGATAATTATATGGTAGTATATGGTATACTAGTTTAAGTCCTTATGGTTGACTAAACTGTATATATCGGTCAAACAATAAGCAATTATGCTAATTTGAAATTTACCTAAGCATCATCAGCATTGGTAAGGTAGGCATCAATAAGCGAAAAGTATTGCAGAAACCTTAAGGATTGCGACAAATAAATACACACGCAGAGATATACAAGTATGTAGATATATGGTACATATAGCTAAACATGCAATGGTGACAGCTGCAGATGAGAAGTGACTTTCTTATGCCTAAAGTGCGAATTCACATATGACTGGTTCCCACCGCGGAGACAAATATACGAAGTGCTGCTAAATTTTCATGCATCTGTTCTCTATTTAAAGGCACATTAATCATTTCATGATTTAGTTGTGAACCGTACGTTGGTACAGAGCAAACCACATAACTCATATCGCTGAAATAAGTGCAAGACTAAACTTCTGGGGGCCTGACTCAGTTAAGGTAAAGTTAATTTGTTAAAAAACATGTAAAGAGTTTAAAAGGAATTGAAAAAGAAAACTGTTGAAAATACTAACAAAATGTAAGCAAATAAAATATTTCGACAAGCGTATAAAATAGTCAATAAAAAAGTTTAGCGCAAGAAGGAATAAATAAAATTCAGGAATAAATATAGTGTGAAATGAACATATCTCTGAAACAAAACATTTTATACTCTTGCAACTTGCAAGAATCTAAGCCCAGGAAATTCTTTCAGGTTCTGGCAAAACTTTATATTAAATAATGTTGCGAAAGAATTAAGCATCCATTATTTGATGAAATCGTAAATAAATTACAATCAAACTTGGTTCCTGCTTGACCTTTATTGAAGGCCATAAACTTAGCTTTATTCCTATATTTTAGTTTATTATTAATTATAATAAAGAATATATTGAAAACACCTTCAAATGAGATAGTATTTGTATGTGATATTAATTGACCGAAGAGCCCAAATTTAATGCACTAAGTTGATGTGTAAAACGATAACCGGAGGATCGGGATTCATTATATGAGAGATATGAGGTTTAGGCCAAGGTATAGACCAAATCCCGTGTAATTCAGCGCTAAACCACATAATTTTTAAGAAACTTGTTCAATTGTCGGTTAGAAGACAGGTGGAAGACGGAAATCATTTTACGGGGTATATTGGCGATAAAGAAAGAGACGGGGCATTAATGTTGATATTTCTCAGGTATACTCGAGAACATATTTGAAGCATATAATAAGCAAAATTATATATGAAAAATACTCACTGACCGACATATTTGGCATAAAACTTGTTAGAATAACGAAAATCGTTATAGATAGTATATGCGAGTAAAGTCAGCCGGATGTTCGAATATTCTGATATTATTTGTATGGGGGCTAGGTCAAGTTTGCACCCAATTTTATCCGTTATAGATCCAAATATACACTGTTATGATTAAAACACGCCCTCTACTTTTATTGAGATAACTCACATATTAGCCGATATATGCAGTATAAAGTTACCCGGAAATTCAAATATTCTTATGTTAGCTGTATGGGGGCTAAAGAAAGTATTGACCCGATTAAATCCATTTTTAATATACAGACGTACTATTATCAGGAAATGATCCGCACTGAATTTCAATTATATAGCTCACACATTGACCGTTATTTTCCGTAAAAAGTTAACTATAGGTACTGGGTGGACATATTCGGTAGCTAGAGGCTTGAACAGTTATAAGGTGGTATAAGGTGATATAATTTAAAGGAATAATTCGGGCAAAGTTGTATCCCGATTTTTGCTTGATTTTTGCATACTAGAAAGTGAGAGAATCAGATGGAATTTAACACGAACTACAATAACAAAAATAAAATCAAAGGAAAGAAAATAAAAGTTCTTTACCTCTAAATAATACAGCTGTTGTATTGTTCAGCCACAGACAAAGTAGTTTCCTTTAAAAACTTTTGAGCCCAAATTAACTAATCATATCAAAGCAAACTGCAGTTTTGAAAACTACGAAAAAAATCGCGCCATGCTGGCAACTAGTCCTAATATCTACAAGAATATTGTATATGATCATCTCCATATTTCTGATAAGTTTATTTTATTAGTATATACATATCGGAGAGTATGTGAAATATAAAAAGAAAAGGTTAAAATATCTTTCAGACAAATACGCAAGAGACTGGAAGTCAACAGCACCATGACTAACTACGAAAATCTACCGTTATATGCAATGAATGTAAAAGTATTTGTTAAACTGGGACTCATCGACTCAAGTGACTGGACGAAGCGATTCCTGTTTAGCTTAATATTAGTAATAACATTAGTGGGACTAGTGGTAAATATGTTTAAGACATGGGATGAGGACATTGGCGAGACGAGTATGAATATTCACAAGTTGTTGGCACTGACACATTGTTCAATTCGTTGTTGCATCATGGTGAAGAAGGCCAAAAAATTCGAGAGATTATTTCAAAGCATCGAGCAGTGGTACAGAGATATCGAGGTAGGTATTAGAAGACATAAACTGGTATGATATCCTAATTATATTTTGTGGCACACATAAAAAGCGCAACGGCGATCCAGAAATACTCAGCACACTACAGGAAATCAACAGAAAAACTGACAAACTGAGTAAAATGACTATCTATTTAGCAGCTATGGCAGCGTTAGCCGGCCTCCTCTATCCATTATCATATAATACACGCAGTAAGCTACATAGAAAATCATTTTATTTTAAATTTCTCATTACTCTCATTTAATATGTTTTAAACTCGCTCTTCAAATTGCCTTTTAAACTCAAAAGCACATATGGTAACCGTACAATATCCATTCATCGATGCGCTCCAAACACCATTCTTTGAATTCTTTTTTCTCATACAAGTGTTGTGGTTAACGCCCACAGTTTTAGTTATTTCTCTACCGTTTATGAATATTTTCCTCATAACTTTTACGTTCGGTGTACTGGCTTTAAAGGATTTGTGTGGGAAACTTAGAAATATACGTAGTGAGAATGAAGAAACTATGCTACAAGAGTTCAAGGAGTGCATTGTGTATCACCGAAAGGTTATCAAGTAAGATAATGCACAAGCCACATACGTTCTCACTTTATTTTATTTTTATTTTATAGGTTGTGTGATGATCTTGAAGATTTGATTTCAATAGATGGATTCTTTAACTTGGCGCTCTTTGGGATGATGCTCTGCATTCTACTCTTCTTCCTCTCAATGGTAAGTGCTTATAGTATTACAAAATGAAGTGTTGCTACTGGTGCGGGCTATACAAAAAGATAATTTAAGCTCTTTGCCGTAATCGTATCGAAACGCAAGTGTTTCTCTCTCTCTCTGTCTCTCTCTCTAATTATCTCTCTTCGCCTATGTAAGGGCTAATAAGTTCACAGAACTTAATTTAGAATTATATAATACTGTTGTGTAGCTGATAAAAGGAAACCGCTTATAGTATCCCCTTTAGCATTTTTCCATTTTTAACTAGATAGATGATCTCCGACTTATCCTAGTGGGGCTGGTATTTGTCAGTCTCAATACTTATATGATTGGCATTACCTATTACTATGCAAACAATCTGGCAACTGAGGTAAGTTGAATTTTTAACCTTTTTCCATACCTCCATTACAAATATAATATATGTTATTTTTTTTTTTTTGCTTAACCTTAGAGCGTAGAGGTTGCCAACGCCGCCTACGACACGCCTTGGTATATGGGAAATTTGGAAATGCGTAAATGTGTCACTATTATGATCGCAAGATGTCAAAAGCCTATACAAGTACTAAAATTATTTATTATTTACTAATACAAAAAGATTTGCTTCCTTCTAGATCACGGCCGGTGGACTATATCCGATGAATATGGAGAATTTCCAAGCCATTTTACGTATTTCATATTCATATTTTTCTCTACTGCAAGGTCTCAGTCAACAATAACTCAGAGAAACGGTACCTTAGTGCACTCTAGACCAATAGTTAAACACTTTTCAAATAAACTTAATTTATAATATACCTATAAAGAGTTTTTTTTAAACATGTATAATAATGTCAATAGTATTAGTCAAAGCATTGGCCATCCGAAGCTTATCATTTTCCCATCTCTCTGACAATTTGTGTGTGTTATCTCAAAATAACTGCGCTGGCTTGGCGGCTAGGAACACATCAAGACAAATTTTGATACTCTATAACTTTTATTGTAGCGTTCATGCAATATTTCTGCCATGCAAAATCGTCTTTCAGCATTTCTTGGATTCCATTCATATGATATCAAACTTCCTTACATTTGAATGTTTCTGGCTACTTTTAAAAATTTTGAATTGGTTGCTTGCGTGCTACCAACGACTCTTCAAGCTTTTCTTGTGTTTGGCAACAATCTTCATCTAGTAATACATACAGTCTCTCATCTTTAAGCTTGTCTTGTCATCTTTTGGCCATATCTGCTTCGCTATCTTATATTTGGTACTAGATTTCAATATGTTTTGAGCTTCATATTTATTCAAATTGGTCGTTCTTAGCGGAAACGTATTTGTACGCTTCAAATGAATGACATATACTGAAAAATACGCACAAGGATAAAAGCTTTCCAAAGCATGTTCGGAATATTGAAACATTGGAGCAATAATTACTCCATTTCTTAGCTAAGTGCACTAATATGGTTATAGATCCAATAGTATTTATTTTTACCTTTAGAAGAAGATATATGGGTGTCGCCATAGTCACATTATTATCTAAGAGTATATTTATTCTCCAGTTTGTGTCATATTCGAGGTACCTACTGGCAAGAACAAGGTATAGCTTTTTGCTCATATAATTGATAAATTAATCTACCAGGTATATAAAAGCTTTGGTGGTTTTTTTTAAACCAAATCTATCTTCTTCCTCTACTTAATTTATACTCAAGTTATCGCTTGGGTGGACAAACGAAACAGAAGCCAATTCCTCTCGTCATCCTGATCTTATTAAACTATATAGCCCATATCTGTCTCTGTTATTTTTAGATATTAAAAATAACCGTTAAACGAACAGAACTACCATATTTCGAGAATGGACTGAACTACTGTAAGAGAGTATTCTTAAAGTATGAAATTATTTTCGAAGGTAAAATATCATTCGTTCCCAAATAATTATCCTATCTTCTTGTTATGGGAGTTTCTACACGTCAATACATAACTATGTTTAAACTGTCAATTAAGAATCCTCGCTTTACTCGACCTTTAAGCTTTTAACACATACGTGGAACTGCACTCAAATATTATGCAATTGGCAAAAAACAACAACAACAACTGCTCATGATTCGCATTAATTATAACTTAAATACTTGTACATACAAACTTTTACGAGTACACATCCGTTGACGTAAATTGCAGCCGCGTCTGTGAGAATGTCTTCTTAACACACATTGAAAAATTATTTGCATATTGATTTCCAAAGTAGCTGTATACATATACAGTGATATGTCTGATTTTGCCTCCTTTTCCGTGAAGATTATATTTTACTTAATGGCACATTACTCATTTTGTCAGACAGCTGTCGACCGAATCCTGCAACAGCGTTGGCCACAGCTTAATAAATTTAAGAAGTCATTTAAGACAACTCGTGTAATACGATTTCAATCATTTTTTTTTTGTTTTAAGAAGATTGAAAAATACGCGAAGTTTATTTTACAAAAGAACTAAGGCAGGATGTGGTTGTATTTAATTAATACATGACACCAAATAACCATTTACTAAGTCAAGTCTCACCTAATATTATTCAGTTATCTTTCATAGTAACCGATATATATGGGCAAGTTAAATTAAAAGCCAAATATATATATATTTTTTTATATAGGGAGTCTAGTTGAATTATACATCGATTTAATTAACTTGTGGTCCAATTAAAGTCTTTCAGCCTTTTATATTTCGGGATTTGGCAACCTTAGTGTTGCAATCTGACAACTCACAGCTTTATCGTTAAGTTTGACATTTTTGATGTTATACATACTCAGAATGTTTTGACATATAAGCGCTATTTGTGTTGTTTACAGTAACTTAAAATATTCATATTGTCAAAAAAATTTAATTAAACTGTGTACATTTTCGCGCGATTATTTTTTACAACTTTCGATGTAGATTAACTTAGCATTGATGCATAGATAAACTTAATTTTATTTTTGACGATGAAACTCCATCAAGGACCAGTGTTTATCGATGGTATCGTGAATTCAATCGAGGTCGTAGATCACTCCAAGACAAATTTTGTAAAGATCGTTCAAAAGCAATTGTTATTCCGGAAACTATTGATGCTGAGCGCAAACTGATATTGCATGATCGTCATGTGACCTATCGTGAGATTGTGGCAACGATGACATCATGGAAGCCCGAAAGTAAGCAGTCAACTGAATGGGTGTTTCAAGATGAGCTGTATCCAAAAAGAAAGAACAGTAAATTCTGAGTGGTACATAACCATTTGTTTGTCAGTTGTCTTTCAAGAAATCAGGAAAACCAACATTTACCATGAAAATACGAGTACTCACACATCGACTGAAACAACTACAATTTTGAGGACTCAAAACATCGATTTGATGGGTCATCAAATCCGAATAGTCCTGACTTCGCACCGAGTGACTTCTTTTTATTCCCGTACGTAAAAAATAAGCTAAAAAGTCAACGTTTTTCGTCACCTGAAAGGCGGTTGATGCGTTCAGAACGCATGCCTTGAAGATAACTCAATCATCAGAGTGGGAAAAGTTCTTGGGCAATTGGCAACTTGCCAACAATTCCATGAGAGTTTACAACTTTCTGCGAGAACACAATTTATTTCATTCAACAATAATTATTTTCTCTTCTTCTTTAAATTGTTAATCTGTTAATGTTTCGTAAAAATATTTTTTTCTGCACGAGCGGTCCGACATCATCCTTCTTGCCAAGCACCAGAGAACGCCTACGCTTTCGTAGCCCTGTTAAACACACAGACGTTGAAGAAAAACAATTGTTGGCGATTCGTATTAATTACAGCTGAGACATGCATATGTACATATCTGCTCTTCCTTTGATTTAAAATTCCGCCGCGCAATTGAGATAAGAGCACATTCTCAAGTCCACAACGTAGAACCAATTGTATACTTATTTGGAAGTAGATTTATGTATTTACAGTTAATGAGTAAGCACATGCCTGTTTTCCCAGTGACATATTCGCATGGCCGAGAATCATTCGGACGCATCGAAGAGCATACGAGTGTGTACAATTGTGCTGTTTTTTGGTATTCTTCACATTCATTTATTATGTTCCAGTTAATGGAACTTGAATCAATTTGTCAGACCGTACAAAGAAGAAACACCAAATGACCATTTACTAAGTCAAGTCAACGGTTTAGTGTAGTTTGTAGGCCGGTGGAATCATCGGTCCATACCGTCAATGTCGACCGTTATCGTGCCATGATGGCCGACTATTTGATGCCTGAAATTGAAGCTCGTGATCTCGGCGACATTTGGTTTCAACAAAACGGCGCCACTTCCCACACATTGCATCAATCAATGGATTTATTGAGATAACACTTCGGTGAGCAGATAATTTCACGTTTTGGGCCGGTCGATTGGCCAAAGAGATCGTGTGATATAACACCGTTAGACTTATACTTATACGGACAAACTCGCTTCGATTCAGGCCTTGAAGCAAAACATCACGCGTGTCATTCGCCAGTTACCAGTCGAAATGCTTGAACGAGTCATCGAAAATTGGACTCAATGGTTGGACCATCTGAGACGTAGCCATAGCCATCATTTGAAAGAGATTATCTTCAAAAAATTAATGCCAAAGAATGTTCTTTCGAATGATAATAAACATTCACCATTAAATTTGAACTTTCTCTGTTTTTTTCTTTAAAACAATAGGGAATTTCAAAATGGATCATCCTATAGATAAACATATGTATGTCTAATATATGTATGTGCAAATACACATATGACTGGTTCACACTGCAGCGACAATTATAAAAAGTCCTGCTAAATTTTCACGCATTTGTTCTCTATGTAGAGGCACATTAATCATTTTATGAATTAGTTATGAACTGTGTTTGCTATAGTAAGTTAACAAAAAGGCCCATACCGCTAAAAGAAGTGCAAGGAGAAAATTTTGGGAGCCTGACTTAGTTAAGGTAAGTCACAGGTTAATTTCATTAAGGAAATCCCGACGTATTGAATTCTGTGCAATTTTTGCCAAAATATCGATAATTGAGCGAGATATAACAATCAAACTTGGAGAGCTATGTTTTCCTGGTAATAGTGTGTGTAATATAAAAATTTTCAAACTGCCGGTTGATCTTATACCATATATGTATATATATCGGCAAATATCATATATGATTTATCTTAAACAAACTGAGGGACAAATGAGAAATATGCTTAAGACATGGAATGAAGACATTGTCGAGATGATGGATTTTCACGTATTATTGCTTTTGACACATTGTTAAATTCGTTTTTGGATCGTGATCAAAAAGGACAAGAAATTTGAGCGACTCTTTCAATGCATCGAGCAGTGGTAAAGAGAAATCGAGGTAGGTGTTAGAAGACATAAGCTAGTATAAAATCCTAAATCTATTTTCTGGCCCACACAAAAATCGCAACGGCGATCTAGGAATTGTTAGCAAACTACAGAAAAACCCCAAAAAAGCTCAGAAGCTGACCAAGATGATCGTCTATGTATCCGCTGTAGCCCCGTTAGTCGCATTCTTATATCCACGACCATAATTTGAATTTTTCATTATTTTCAAATAATATATTTTTAACTTATTCTTCAAATTGTCTTTTAAACTCAACCATACCATGTAGTAACCATACAATACCCATTTTTCGATGTCCTCCCAACACCATTTTTTGAATTATTTTATCTCACACAAATCGTGTTGGTAACGTCGGCATTTATGCACTTTTATAACACATTTGCGAATATTTTTCTCATATCTCTTATGTACGGCGTACTGGTCTTAAAACCTTTGTGTTTGAAGCTTAGAAATTATACGTAGTGAGAATGAAGAAACTATGCTATAGGAGTTCAAGGAGTGCATTGCGTATCACGGAAAGGCGTGGCCAGCATTTGCGCCGACTTCGGTAAGTTTAGACGAAGTTATACACCAATTTCATTCATTGTTGACCCAAATCAAATTGCAATAAATAGTTGATTGGAAATAGAAGAGAGTCGAGATGTTTCTATATGGTTTTCTTACATTCTAAACTGAGAGATCAAAAAAATATTTGATTGGTACCAAAAACTATATTATGAACTATCCAAATGTCATAACACAAAAACATATTGCTAATTGAAGCCATTTAGCATAGCCGTAATTGAAATATAAAAAAAAAATGGCCAGACATTTTTCTACACTTAACCTAATTGTTGCAATTTACAGTTAAACGCAACAATTTAATGCAATTATCAGCGCTAACAGATGTTGCGAGCTTTCAGCACCTCAAATCTACCACCGTTCATTCAATAAAAGACATGTCTTAATGATTCACATTCAGTATTTTCA